ATGAAATTTTTTTAAAATATAAGGTAAGCTTTATAATAAAATGTTGTAAAAAAACTAATGACTTAAAAATTTAGATGCTAATAATAGTTGTCAATTCCTGAAAATAAATGTTTAAATATGTAATGCATTTACTTAAAAAAAAAAAAAACATGGAATTGGTTTTTAACAAAAACCAAAAATTAAATTTTTTTCGACAATAGAATTGTTAAAAAGATAAAGATAACAATTAATAACAATGTGTGGTGATTAGTGACCGTTAATCGATAATTATTCAGAAATCGTGAGATGCGGTCTCGTGTGATGTAGGTTTCAGAAAAGCATTTTCTTTATCGTGCCAACGTTTCGATCTTTATTGAGATCATCTTCAGGGCCTGGGATTTACAAACATTGTTTNTGAAGATGATCTCAATAAAGATCGAAACGTTGGCACGATAAAGAAAATGTTTTTCTGAAACCTACATCACACCAGACCGCATCTCACGATTTCTGAATATATTAATAACAATAAATCTTAGATTTTAGATTTTCTAATATACTGTAAACCATGTAATTTTATTATTTGACTAATTAATTAATTACTTTTATTTTTATTAATCCTAATAATGCACAGGTTATCAATTTTTACCTTTTACAAACGGTTTTCGTTATTTTCTGAAATTCAGAAGTGAATAAGCGCATTAAACTCGTGCTTATCCATTAAGATTTTAAAATTTCACTTATATATATGCTCATTTTTATCACTAAATTATAATCACTTTCAGCAGGAATCAGTGACACAGAATAAAAGTTTTAATGCTGATTTACTATCATTTTATTGCTATAATGTTTTACTTAGGGGGTCGAATAGGGGACATCTATAAAAAAAAATTCCATCTTCGAATAATATAAGTGTGCTCTTTAAATAACAATATAGTCAGTCACCAATGATCATTTTCAACTGGGGATCGAGCCGTGTCGGGTATACTGCATTAAGGAAACTGCGTGAGGAAGAACTGTCGTAAATATGAGTTTCCCCTTCGCCCCGCGGGTGATATTTCAGTTTTCGGTTTAAGTTAGAGGCAAAAAGTATTGAGATATAGAGCTCCTAACGGCTCCCTAAATCATATTCCACCTCTGACCAGGTTCGCTTCTATAAGATGCAATGACTATATGCTATATGCCTCGGACGCGTTTCGTTTGTAATTGCTTTTCTACCGTTTTTGCCTGATTAAAGCATAACCGCGTGGGTAGGAATCACACTGATGGTAGTGTGAATTATTAAGACGGAGTTGTTAGAGCTCGCTCGGTTCGGGTCTCTACGGACCCATTTCCCAAACTCGAGTAATGAATGTTCTGCCGGAGCAGCTGATTGTGCTAGGTACTTAAACCACAAATGCATGGCTTTATAACAAAACTACATTTTAATATCAACTCGGATTGGATTATGAAAATGAAATTTGATTTGAATAAGGAATAATTTGCGTTTTTCAACTTCCCGCTCTCAAACCGTCAACTTGTACAACATTGATTTGATTTTAAAGTTTGGGCAGAAAAGCAAAATACCACATCTACAAAGAGAAAATGTAAAATTTGTTATTATTGTTAATCAATAGGTTTTTTTTAATAACCATTATAACATGAATAATCCAAATACTTTTTCAAAGATTTATACATACACTTGTACATGACTACAACAAACAAAAGTAATGTACCATCATAACAGAACAGAAATGTTTATTTACAAATATGTACGTTAAATATAATGGTTTGGTAGTGCTACTTTCTCAGGCGTAATAATCGAAACCTGTATAATATACATATAAAATGTTTTGAGTTTTATTATCGTGTTTAAATTTCATAATAAAATTGAAAGAACAATATTTTCAATTCCATTATATCTAGTGGTCTATTGACCAAATTGCTTCTTTCAATTAATAGATCTTTTTATGTAAGGTTTTGGTTGAAATGAGAAAGCTAGTGCCACGAGCGGGATACGAACTTTCGAAATTTCGGGATTTGTCATGATAGCTGAAGTGGTAGAGCAGCGGCGGATTTAGCCGAAGGTCGTGGGTTCGAATCCCGCTCGTGGCACTAGCTTTTTCATTTCAATCAATACCTTACATAAAGATTAATTAATTGAAAAAAGCATTTCATTTCAGCATTTTCAAGGCTTAAAAGCGTGGACCTAAAGGGTGAGAGATCCAACTGAATATACGGCATATGTTGAAATTATTAGGCCCAGTTAGATCGAGAAAAATGATGACGTAGACATGTAAGAATCGGCTAGTTAACATTGCTCGATCTAATTCTCTCCATGGCGAATATTAGATGTTAGTTCGAAAATGTAGTCACATTGCTATCCGTTGGGCGTAGATAACCAACATGGCAGCCATGAATTAACAGCTGTTTTTTGTTTACACGCATTTTTATTCTGAAGTACGCATTCATTAAATCAGACCAATACATTTCTTTTGTTAATTTCTGACCTGTCCCTGTACTCTCATTCTTAATAGATACATTCGCTATCCTATAGAGTTGAACGAAGTTAGACTTTACGATACAAGTTAGGTATGTCGGCACGAATTAAACTGTTTTATTTGTTAGTACTTTCGAGGGCATAGATAGCATTTTGAATGAAAGAGTTGATTAATTTTCCTTTTTTATTAACTTCTGGCATCTTACAATTTAACACAAAATAAAACCAAAACAACAACAAGCTTCAAGGACTTACAGCTTTATTTTTGGTTCTGCCAATCGCTACGCGAAGCATTGAGGAAAAATTAACGTTTGACATGCTAAGAAAAGAAGGGGGATGTTCTGGACATTTCTCTATTCGAGTTAACATCTTACAAACATCGTGAATACCCCTATTGTCAAAAAGTATATTATGGCTACACTATTTGGTCGATAGCATGAATATGATCGTAAAGACGAAGACAGGCCTGGTAGTGCCCTTTCCTAACATAGACGCGGCATAACTTGAGTAGTTGACGAGTACGTCAGTTGATTAATCTCAAAGATCAGCCGTTGGTCGGACATATTCTGCTACCGCTGCTGCATCAGCTGGGTTTGCAATCCTGCTTACTCTGTGGCTAACATTGTAGCGGTGGCACCCTTGGCTTACTGAGTCTCGTAAAGATTCATTATGTATTAAAATCAGTTCGGTACGGGCATGGACGTTGATTCGACCCCCATAACTGGCTGCCTTTGAAAAGGCGGCCACAAACTGTCCCGGTCATATGATGGCCGTTGGCCAAAGCATCTTCCCCGTCTAGTTCTTCTAGACTTAAAATTATCTCTTAAGAAAAAATTAATAATTAATTTTTTACTAAATTTGTTTCATGAAACATAACTATTTAAAAAGCCAATAACTTACTGGACAAGTTGACTCTGGAAAAGAAATTGAACTGATTTTCTTTACTTTTAATCTAAACGGTGCAAAATATTAGTAATACTACAAAGATAGACAAGTTATTAATGTTGTATTCTTGTAGTATTAACAGCCCAATGTCGATAACTCGCAACCGAGGCTTCAATTTGTATAAATGGAAAAATAAGTTATTTTTGACGAGTTTTTTTAGACTTTTGATATCTCCTTAGTTTCATATAATGTTTGCGGATATATTGACCAAATTTCATGAAGATTGATACAGGGAATCAATTTGAAGTATCAACAGCCCAATGTCGAAAAAAAAAAAAAAAAAAAAAAAAACGAGAAATAGAAGCCCAATTGAGGCATCAATCAATGGCAATACCACAAGGATGCTTGCAAGGGAGCATATTATCACCACTTTTTTTGTTTCTTGTTGACCTGATTGTACAGCTAAATAGGCTAGGATACCTTACAGTTATGCAGATGACCTAGTAATAATAATAAAAGGCCAATATAATGAAACTGTTTCATATCGTATGCAAAATGCCCTCAATTTAGTAGAATAGTGGTATAAGAAGGTCAGGGTGTCAACTCAAATAAACCACAGTAATATCTTTAACAAATAGAAGATAGCTTAACCTCATTTGTCAAAAAATTGTTTTAGTAGTAACGAAATTGAACAAAACTATATATCAATATTAAAAAATTGAGACAGAGAAGCACAATTTGGGCATTAATCAATGACACAAGGTTGGGAATGTCTATCACCACTTTTTTAGTGGTTGATGTTATTGTAGAACTAAAGAGGCTATAATATAAGCTGGATATTCACTAATGGTTTAGTAGTAATAATAAAATAAAATAAAGGTAAACGATGAAATGGTTTCATTTAATTGCAATTTAGTAGGAAAGTGGTGTGAGAATATACCAGTGAGCCGCTGTGGTATTTTCTTAATTACTTTTAAAATTCCTGTTCAGTCGATTCTCACTGAAATGCATTGGGCCAACATAATTTCTGTGCGTGTTCGCAGTATCAGTTCAATATTATTAATTTATTTTAATATTTTTACACATTAACTTATTATGTCCTTCTAATCTCGTGGGTCAATTGGTTATCATGTGTTTATTGACATGCAGGATGTCAACCACCGCCAACTTTACATATTTTTAGGTACTAAAACTAGATTAAAAATCAGGAATTGGAAAAAGTACACATATATTTTTAAATTTTATTAATAACAATATTATATATAAACAGTCATACAAATCAATATACCAATAATATATTTCTTCATTCAACTTTTACTTATCAGTTTTAAAAGAAAACTACATCCAAACAATCAGCAGAAAAAATAATAAAACAAGATTATAATTTTTTAAAATATATATTATTGTATATCGTGATTGATAATTTACTATGTCGTACAAAAATCTTACTTTTAACTCCCTTTTAATAATTTCAAATTAAAATATTTTCACTATTTACATTTCATTTATTATACAATTTCATTTACTAAAATGAATTTTATATATGGATAAAGGCGATCAGTAAGTCTTTATTTTGCGTCTTTTTATGACCGTCCTCTTTAATCTTAAATGTTCTCCCCTGAATATATAATTATTTTAAAAGAGAGATTCAGCTTTAAAATGTGTTTAAAAGCGATATCGCATCTTTTTTTATTTTTGTTGTTTTCTCATGCCGATCAATCTCATTAACCAGCGATTTCCCACTCACATTTTTACAACCCTTGTTTTCCCAAACTCATACTGTAAAAGAAGCTAATTGACCATGAGTTGTTGGGCCGTTTGCAGCAGTATCTTCAGGCCAGTCATAAATGTTGCAATCTGTGAGAAATCTGGACCGGAGACCATTTGTGTTATTATCCCAAGGCCAGTCGTGTAGTCAACATTGTGGACAGCCTGGACCAGACGCTCCAAACTGCTCAATATATTAGACGACAACTGTAAAAAAAAGAAAACATTCAAAAACTGATTCTAAATATACTAATGAAAGTAATTACCATTCCATTTCTAAGTAGTTCATACAGTGTTTCTAGCTTCCTGGCAGCATCATCAAGTTTTCGTTTGATTAGCTGAAATAAATTTTTAACAAATTATTAATTTTTTAACAACAAAAGTTATATGAATCAACTAACAGCATTATTCTGAGATTTGATTAAACATTTATTCCTAAGTTCTTCGAAAGTTGTCTGGATGTGGAGGTAATGTTGAGGCATTGGTGGTTTCGGCTGAGATGATTCAGTCGCTGGTCTACTCATCGACATCGGTGGTTCTCCATAACTTCCAACCGACGCCGCCTAATGTCAGCCAAGTTTAATAAAAAGGTCCAAAATTATATATATTTTATAAATTAATACTTGATAGTGTTGCTGCATAGGTGGCATGCTTTGATGTGCTAACTGTTGCGAATGGTTTTGAGATGCCTGCATTTCAGGCTTCAATGGTGGTGGCTCACTTCCAAACAGAGGGTGGGTGATTGGGTTCTGAGGTGTAAATTCCTGTTTGGGCTAAAGGAAAAAATTTTGTTTTGCAAATTTAGTCAACAAATACATTCATATCAATTATAAAAATGAATATTATATAATTTTATTTATAATAAATTTTAAAAAATGGTAAATTAATTGTAAAATATGCATACACTGGACTCTTGTTATGGGGGATATGTTATATGGGGGATATGTACCAAGCATCACCGCAGACAATAAGAAACTCCTTGAATTTCAGGCTTTGAAGCATTTTCTTCCATCTGCATACCAATCACACTTTTTGTATCATTTGTGTTTAATTTTTTTTTGGTCAATATTATGTACGAACTTATGTACACATATTTCAAAATAAATAAAAACAGTCTTTTTTTAAATAAGAATTCTATTAAGCTCAGTTGTTTTTCGGGGATTCACCACATTCTCACACTCATAGATAACGAGAGTCTACTGTAATCTCAATTTTTTAAGCCATGTAAAGCTATAAATTTTTTTCTCTAACAAAAGGAAATATTGCAGTTGTAAATATATATAAAAGAGGTTTCAGTCATATTATAATTTATAATATTTTTAATGGAAAACAAACTAATAGGAGAACAGTGGGACATTTTTATACTATTAATTGTAAAACTAAGATTGTATCTTGCACTTTAGCACCATCTCAACAATAGTGAGTATAAAAATGGATTGATTTCTGAGAGGTAGTGGCTTCTTTGAGGAAATTTTAGGCCAAGTAGTTCATTCAGGCTTGAACTGAAATATGATAGATGTAAGATATCATGTAGGAACTGGTAATGATTCTCAGGAAGTAGGACAACTGTTTCACAACTGTAATTCAACCACTTTAAGAAAGTCTTCATCTTTTTCTCCTTACTAATTTAACATATGTAAAACACGAATGGACAATTACGACTGCCAATCCAATAATCATAAAGTTGACGGGATAAGAGAGAGGGGCAGTCCAGCTTAATATTTTCCAGCCTCAAGTCAGCAATAGTGGTGCTGAGACAGTTGTAACAATGTGGATATCAAGGTGATATCATTTACAAGGTGGAAGTTGACATATGCGAGCATTTTTCTTCTAGGGTGAGCGTATGTGCAAATAATTTATCTCTAGAGACTGGCATTATCAGTAATCCTAAACTTTTAATAAAATTATTTATGAATTAATTGAACTCTCTTATAACCTCACCCTAAGCAAATCAGAAGACAGGAGGAACAAAGTAGCATACTATTAAATATTATCTCACATGAAACTAAGTTATAAAAAACAATTAAAAAGGTTCCAAAATTAGTAAAATAATGAGTTTAATAATTATTTAATTAATAAAACTAGAAAAATTAAAAATAAAAACCAATTAAACTACAATAAGGAAAATATCCCACTTAATTGTTTAACTTTTTAGCCAGTTATATAATTCTTTTTTCAACCATATTCTGGACGAATATTTTATCTTAATACCATTTAAACATTTGTTGCATAATGTATGTTAATTATTAACTTCAGAAAGGCTATGAAGTAGATTAGAGTAAATCTTAACAATTTAGGTAGTTTGGTCATTCCTGAATGTCCTGATCTGTTTATCACTGTATTTTTAGATCAGTTTTAGCTCCTAATTTCACAATTAAATAATGCCAAACATTGATTTAATTAACCTTAGTAATGATTATTAGATTCACAAAAAAATGTTTCGTAGTGCGAATATTTGAGTTGTTAGATTCCTTGTAAACAGTGGTGTTTTTATTCTTTCATGCGATCACAAACACAAACAGTATGCAGAGGACAACAAATTTATTTGTTAAGGATGATTTATACGGCCTTAATTGATTTGAGGCCGAGTCAATTTGTAATTCCAGTCCCTATACTCGCCACAAAATGACTGTTTATCAAACTTCCATAGGGGTTAAACATGAGAAAAATAAATACTGGATGCTCTTTGTGTTAAAGGATGTAGTGCTGATGAAGTTTTGCTTAAATAATTTTTTATTATACCCCAAAAGAAAGCGAGCAACAATATATCAAAAGAATCTCACACTTTTTGTGGAGTATATATTCTATTTGTTTTTAAAGTATATTTTTCAAAACAGACTACATGCGACTTTCACACTGTCTACAACTTAATTATTTAAAAGGAAAAAAATGTTATTTTCAAACCCAACACTAGTGAAACCGATGTTTTTCTTTTCTACCTGAGTCTTCTTAGCCTTGTAAATCTTCAAACCAGAATGTATTGCAGACATCTCGGTTTCAGATCTCTAGCAACCATTAATTACAGTTGTTTTAGTTTACATTATTTCCAAAAATATCATGCATTAAGGACTGACAAAAGAGTTGAGGGATGGGGAAGCGAATTTTGTCAGAAATTATATAAGTAACTGGTACTTACGCTATAGTGATAACTATTCAGCATTGAAAGCTTGGAAAAAATGTGATTGTTAAATGTGATCTAAGGTTAATTTTAATGTTGAAGGATTTAATTTTAAATTTAAATACATTTTTTCCTCAAAAATATAATATAATCTTTAAGAAAAGGGTTTAAGTGGAAATTAATGTACAATTTTAACTTACTTGATTGGATCTTGGTGTAAGTACAGGGGGATCGTTCCAACCAGATGCTGGGCCATGTTGAGCTGACGGAATTTCTTGATTTGCCATTCCTGGAATGAAAAATATATTTAACAATCAGTACATCATTCGCACGTACAAGTGAAACTACCTGGCTGGTTATAATTGAAGTTCTGAGCTGGTGTAAAATGCGAAGGTTCTTGCGCTGGTAAAGCAGCAGCCGGAGGAGCCGGTTTATAATGCTGCGCCGGGGGGAAATTTGGATTAAATCTTCCATCGCCAGCTCCTCCAACATTCGGCTGGAATTGCGAAGGCGTTGCTTGCTGATACGTTGAAACTGGTGGTGGTTGGAAACTAGAGAAAGACGGTGAGTGCATCGATACTGCTGTGTTGAATGAAGAAACAGGCGGAGATTGGAAGTTGGGTACTGAACTAGGAACTTGATTTCCACTGAACATAGGCATGTGCGACCCTTGATGGTTGTACATTTGAGAAGGCCCTCGGTTATACCCACCTCCACCTACTGAAGGATCCACTACATATTTTTTCATCGTGCTTCCTAAAAATAATATTACCATGTACATTTGTTGATGATTTATTTCTTGTACTGACTGTTGACTAGGAAAAAAAAGTTGGGATGGTCGGACTTATTTTCTTTAGGTAAGAACAGACCATTATTATGTCAACACCATTATTGTGTGTGTCTGTTCTTACCTACAGAAAATAAGAAATACAGAAGAGTTATGGCAAAACATGTTTCAACCTTCAAATATAACTGTAAACTCGACTGAAAATCTTAATTAGTACTTGTCTTGAATATGTTAATAAATTTGATGAAATGTCGGCATACTTAAAATGTAGTGTTTCTTTTATTTTCCACATCTACCTGCTGACTGATCATCCTAACATTTAAAAAACGAGTTTTTTTTCTCCTACTAACCTTGTATCTGAGGGCTCGGCGAGTTTCGAGTAAATGCATTTCCAGGAGGTGGAGGGGCCGGTGTATGAGCAGGCATGGCTTTAGGCACCTGTGGAGCTGGCATTCCGTAATTGGACATTGGTACAGGGCTAGGAGGTACTGGAGGTTGACCAACATTTGAAGGTTTCCCGAATGAATTTAAATGTTGATTTTGTTGTACTGTCTATAAAAATATATATATAAAAAACACACATATAAAATAACATTTTTTATGCTAATTATAAACAAATTACTTGGAAAGGTATAGACTGCTTTCTCATATTCTGAACAATCTGTTTGCTGGGTTGCTGAGCCATTTGGGAATTTCCCATGTGCACAGGATATTGGGACTGCATCGTCTCTCCCAAAGCACATCCTAGCCTTGTTCTCAATTCAACCACTTTCTCCTGGAAATTATCCATGCAAATAAATATAACAGGCACGTTCCACAAAAACCCAGTTAAAAAAAAAATCCTTACATCCTGCGAGTCATTCAGATATTTCAATGCTGATACAAGGTCACCTTGAGCTGCAAGGATTTCACCGTAGTTGACAATTAGATTTGCCACATCGCCGACAATCGGGAGGTTATGACCATGAGAAGCCATCGCTGCTTTTGCCACCAATACAAGTTCGACCAAATCCTAAAATACAACACATAAGCATATTTTTGTTTAGCTTTAAAAATGCGCCTTACCTGTATATTTGAAGGGGTTAATGTCACTTCTGAAGTCCGTTTGTGAATAAGGGGAGCAACATTACCCGATGCAATGTAACAAATATCAGCACAAGAGGAAAATTCACCGCCTGCTTGCTCCAGTCTCTCTCCAAGAGCTCCTTTATTTAAAAGAGACATATAATTTTAAATAAAATAGTTTTAAATATTATTACAAAAGATGATAAAAAATGAAACTTTACTGCATAGTTCTGGTAATGATTCTTCACAGCTGTACGTCAGAATGGCGGTCAGGGCCTCTTTCCAACTCGTCAGCTCACAATTTTGAATAACGAAGGACCAATCTTCACTCACAAGTGCACTAATTATATTAGTCAAATAACCTTCACGCTTCTGAAAATTAAAATTATATTATATTTGTCTCCAATCATCTTAGCTATAATAATTGTTACAGGGTTTTTATTACCTGGAAATACTTCAGTTGGGTTTTGGCGAGGGTGTCAGGACCAGCGGCCATCGCCAGAATGAGTGCATCGGCCATTTTATTCTCATTTAAACATATTTCTATTGCTTCTTCGACTCCACCGACAAGCAAAGCTTTACACACTCTGCCATCCACATCTAAAATAATTTATTAATTTTTTTGGTAAATTTATGAAATATAGTACCTGAAGAATCAAATATACTATAGTAAGAGTGGTTTTACCATTTTCTGTTTGAATTTTAAAAGCGGCATTCTTTTCAGGAGTCTGTTGGGCTGATAAATTCTCAAAAACGTCTCCTCCATTTACATGTTGACTATTTACAAAATTCTGCAGAATAAGGCAACAATGAAATTTTCTTTTAATAAAGAAAATCATTTAGAATAATTGTACTCACTGATTGACCGAGCCCTTCTGCATTATCTAGACCATCCTGAAAATTAAATATAACACAATAATAAGAAATTGACTTGGTTGAAGTTTATATATATTATACTGACCTGTCCTAAAGTTGAAAACTGCCCTGATAGATGGTCAACATCGTTTTTACTCTTTGGTAGACCTAACAATTGTAATACCTAAAGAATAATAATAAAAAAATTAACTTTTTTGGAAATCAAATTTAACAAAGATCTTTGTTAGTCGTGTTGAGGTCTGCTAAGCAAAATTGTTTTGGTTGATACTAGTATACCTATTTTCACTGGTTTTATCTGGTTGAAAAAAAAGAAAAAAACGCTAATATGTTGAGATACCAAACCTTATTTCAAAAACAAAACCTGCAAAACTAGGCAGTTTAGCTGATCAAATTTGACCAAACTACAAAAATAATTCTTATATGTATGTCACACTTAAATATTATTTCATAGTGACAACCTACCTTTTAGTGATTTAGACTTCATGGTTAGTACTACAGTGCTTGAATAAAGGGATCCCCAACTTTTAAGGTGTAGAGCTGGGATTTAACTTAGGAGAGAGCAATATATATGTGGGGTCATAAAAAATAGTGCGGAGGAAAAGTTAAAGTTCACAGCAGACTGCATTAAAGTAGAGCAGTGAGTACATTGTCAATCCTTTTGGTCGGGCAAATAATTTTTAAGAGATAAAATTCCGGTTTGTTTACATAGAAAAAATTTTGATTGTTCATAGAAAAGACAAGATGATTTGGGTGAATTAATTTTTTGTTGTTAATAAATTTGTTTTGAAATTTTGATTAATTTATATTATAAAAAGGCACAGGCAGGTTTGTATTTAGGTCTTATCAAGAACTCTGGGGCTCTGTTTTCTAATAATTAGGATTCAGGGTTCGGCCAGTATTGCTTGTATCAAAACACAAGTGTATTTCTTAATGTAGTAATTTTTTAAAAGATGTTTTATCAACTTACTGATTCTCTATTATATCCAAGAAGGTCTGCAATTGCGACTCTGGGATGTGGGCTAAAACTGGCTTCGAGGAATCGCCAAACCGGGTCCTGTTTCCCTTGGCATATCTCATGAAACCTCCCTTCCGCGATTTTCTGGTCCAACTGGCTTGCCCTTTCCAAGAAGCTGCTGTCTTCATGGACTTGAAGTAGGTTTACGCCGCTATTACCTACCGTGACTAATTTCCCACCGAACTAAAATGATAAATTGTAAAATTTAAAGTTATACATTTTAAGTCATGTTTTAAAGTTGTTCATACTCCAAAACGAGCACTCGACTGCTTCTTAAGCCACTTTGGTGCATTTTTCAAGTTTACTACCGGCTGCTGGGCATGAAGCTGCGTCTCCGAATAGTCGCCCATTCCTGGGAAGGATTCTGCAATCTGAATAATTAAATGTTTAAAAGATAAGGCCTAAAAATTTATCTGATAAGATTGGAAATCTTTTGAACCTTATTATTACTAATCTGCATTTGGCCTCCGCCTCCTCCAGATAAAGAGTAAATACTTGTGTGACCGTCACAGCTCGAGCTGACTATCAATGATGGATTCCTTGGACACCAACTCACATCAAATATCCACTGCTGAGAATTTGGTATTTCACAAACAATTTCTCCATCCTATAAATATTAATTTTAAATAGACATTTCCCCATTAAATAATGTTAGACGCATCAGTCATTTATTAAATATAACAAGAATAATTCTTTTTAATCATTTAAAAACTTACTGGAGCATTAGTGTTTGGATTCCAACAAAATATTTTATTATCTTTACCACTGCTGATAAGCAAGTCTGGATCCTGACTGCACCATGCCAATGAAAGTACACCTCTAAAAACAAAACATGTCTGGGGTTAGTTTCCTCATTAAAAAATCTGTTTCATTAAATAAAAAAATTATACATGTTTACCTAGTATGCCCATGGAAGGTTTTGACGGGTGCCGTGGCAAATCTGAGATCCCAGAGTTGTATGAGGGGACTTGTGTCTTCTTCTGATGCCAAACACAACTGTGTTGCCACTTCAGGATGCCAGGACACTACTTTCCACCTGACCTAGTAGAATAATTTTATAAAATTCAATTTCATATAAATACATTTAAAATTTTTTTAAAAATTACTCTGGTCGTAGTATCGGTGAGTTTAATTATCGGCTCGTTTTTCCTCAAATCCCAAACTATCGACCTAGTAGGGAAAGTGGATGCAAGAATATGTTGGACTGAAATTAAAAAAAAGATAAATTATTGTTAAATAAAATGGAAAATCACAATTTTTCAAACCTTGACGGTTCCATGCGAGCCAGGCGACATCTTCAAAAGGCTGGGATTTGCTACCGGGCGTCATTGGTGTTGCAGTGTTATTCATGTCCCATATAAAAATTTCACTGTTAGTTGCACCAGTAGCGAGGAGATTTTTCTAAATAGTCATAATTAATTTAAAAGCATGAATTTAAAAAGAAGAGAAAAATCTAGGCAATTATCACATACTTGAAAAGGATTGAAATCTAGTGCGCGAACAGGCCCAGAGTGTCTTTCTGGATTCGCGATCAGACTGTCTTCCTGTTCAAGTAGCTTTGAGACGTTGTACATCTGTAAAACACCATTGTCGCAACCTCCGACGATAATACCAGCCCCTGTTCCACCCCATGACACTTTGTGGAATCTATCAAACAAAAATTAAAAGTCTGGTACTAAAAGCTAATAATTCAATTAATATTAATTTTATATTACTTCACAAAAATGTACATACAATTATTATGCTAAATTATGTTCTTCATTATAAAATTAAAATTTGATACAAAAATAAAATTACGGAAAAATTTATTCTTAAAAATACAAGGGATATTTGTTAAGAAAAAATATGTTTTACACAATTGAAGAACAAAAGGACTTTTATGTTTAGAATATCTCTATTTTTTCTATATTTTGTCATATTTCTCTAAACATTTAATGAAATGCTTCGACTGTAAAGGTACCATTGTATAGGTTTTATTACTTTTCATAGCTAGCTCAATCATTTAATTAAAATTATTACGGATTTAATTTATTAAAACACCTTGACTATTTAGGCGCATTCTCCTTCTTAATAGGATGTCAACCTTAGTCACATCTATTTGTGGATCTACATCTTCCTACTATTAAGCCGATGACAAGTCAATAATTTTATTACAAGTCTGAAGCATTCGTTTAGGTACCAATGATACAATAAAATAAAAGATAGAATAATGCTAACAAATTTTCAGTTTGGCCACCTATAACTTTTAATTAAGTGTGATTTATTGTTTAATATAAATGCGTGTGAATGCTCAACAACGCATATAGAAGGCAAAATAAGACACGCAATATAACAATACTTTTTTTAATCATGAACAAGAGATGCAAAAATGCAGAGGAATGACAGCAAATTTGTTGCAAAATTTTACTGTAATCTATTTAACTATAAAAATATATTGAATCATTTTTAGAAAAAAGCTGGTTAGTCAGAAATTTGCTATCATTTGCAAAATGAGTAAATACGTTAAGATCTTATAAAAAATAAGCAAGTTGGAATTCAAAACTTGCATGCGCTATTGACATTCACTTTTAAATGTTGTCATTCCCTTAAAAACCCAAAGACCAAATCATACCCTTATTTTTGTGTTTGTGTCAAATCATTGGAATGAATGAAATTTATTAGCGTGAAAGGAGTACTCCGGTTTGGTGGTTCCTGTATTGATGTCCTGCTTAGTGTCATCTTGCTGTGGCTTGGGGGCAGGTTATCAGTATTTGGTTAAATAACATTCTAGTAGAGTTGAAAAATAACAATTGAATGTTCGAAAACGTAAGCTAAGGTAAATTTGCAGGGGGGGGGGGTAGAAACTGACTTTCTACTTCTTCTGACTGCATAACTGAATTTCTACCCCCGCCTTCAAATTTACCTTAGCTCACGTTTTCGAACATTCAATTGTTATTTTTCAACTCTACTAGAACGTTTTTTAAAACCTGGATATATCAACGTAAAGCATATTAGATGAAGTTTTTGTAAAATTTGACAAGTTGTAGGTATTTTTTTGTAACCTCAGTAGAACTGCAATCATGACCAAAATTTTAAATTTTGACATGTTCCAACTGATATTGGCTAACATTTTATGTCATTCAGATTATTGCACAGAAGTATCTTACAGCAAATTTAGCGTTCTTTCAAATGGTTTAATTGGATTTGTTATAGTCTCAACATTTTGGAAGTTGTAAGCATTTTTATGTGGTAAGGTAATGAAAAGTTGAAAAAACCTAAATTGACGAATATCTTCAAAATAGAGAACTCTCCGAAAAATTTTTTCCTGAGCATTTTTTGCTCCAAACAAAGAGAAGAATCGATTCCCTGAGTTTCGAAGGAATTGGGACACCCTGTATATTGTTTTGTATGTACATTACAAGAAACAGTTTTTTTTATTATTATTATTTTTTTTTACGAGGGTTCGCAACAGCAGAGGTCATATAAACCCTCAGGGTGCCGGTGTTTTTGAAAAAAAGCCCATTTGTAAGTATGTCGGGTTCGAATGCAGGGCCGCTGGATTCGAACCCGGGACCTTTACCTTACAGAGATGAGCACCATGTCAATGACTAAACCTTGCGGCCACTGACGCCCCTCAAGAAACATTAAGGACCAAATGAAACCAATTCACTAAACCATCACAATGGTGGCAATAGCATGGATAAACAAGTCAATCAAAACCAAGCAACAAATAAAGCACGAGGATCGCATTGTCACTAGTATGACAACACTCATGTCAGCATCAGAAACGATGAAGGTAGGGCGAGTATGTAGATTCCCTTCTTGTAAATGATGGTTCTACTCATAAATTTAAGTCCTTAGATAATTCTAGGATAAACCTCTCTCCAAAAATGTTAAAAGGAAACTATGCACAATATAGGCAATTTCGGAAATCAGTGACACTACTGACCTGTCCCTGGCAATGGTCTCGAAGAGGCAATGAAAAAGTTTACATGTTGGCCAAAGAGGAGGGCCAGCATGGGCTCTCTGGGTCCTGAACCCTGTGGCTTAGAGCATCCTGCCACCAAAGAGGATATCTTACAATGGATCCTTAATGAGTCCAAAACCTGGTGGAACAATACCACTGGTATGAAGCTCACGAAGAGATTCACATAAAGACCATCTGCAAAACTTTCAAAAGAATTACTGGAAGACAATTACAACCGAATAACCTGAAGCTGGCCAGTGAATTATAAAAAAAGGGGAGCACAACAGATCTATTCAGGACAAGGTGTAGAAGACCTTATGGCCGCCTCTTTTATCTCTATGTCTATCCCTACAGGCAAAGATGATTTTTCTAAGGATTTTTTTTTTGCACAGGGTAATCAAAAAAAGAGAGGTGATAAGCTTTCTTTGCATGCTTAATGCAGGAATATTTTATTTTAAAATAAAATCTTCAGAAACCTTAGGCATGTATGCTAATATCTGTCAAACATAAGACATTCACATGATTGCACCCAATTCGATTTGAATAGAAGACAAGCAGCATGAGTGCAATCATGTTGAACCGGCACAAAGCCACTTACTGGCTCTGTCTCCTCTCATGATTTTTTTTTTAATTATTCAAACTCATTGCATCATCTTCAGTTCCTCATCATTCACTGACTCGCAGACGAAAACCCATCATCAACTATGAGAGCGATGAATTTGAACATTCAGTTCCAATATGTTTCGGAATTACAAGACTGAATTTAACATATTGGTATTGAAAAACACTGTGAACACAAATTTAGATAAAGGATCAAACAATACTCTTGTATGAAGGCAATTAACTGCAAATCAGCTGTGGCAACTGCAGACACCCAAATTCTTCTGTGGGGTAGACAACTAACAGTTAAGAAGTTCTAAATGTCAAAACTTGATAAGAATAACATTTGAGAAAGAATGACATTTTAAAACACATAGGTGAAGGAGAATGGATAGGAAAAACTCTGAATTTTGTTGTGTGTTGAACTTGAAACTCAATTAATTCTGAAATATTGGTGTCAATGAACAAAGTCCAAAATTCAATGAGGCATTTACCATCTGAAGTACGAAATGTTTTTGTTGTTTAGTATGGAAACATTTCCCACCTGGACAAGTACTAAAATTCAAACCATCATACTGAACAGCAGTATGAATCTTATAATGTACTACAAAAATTAATAAGATAAGTGAACATGAATGAATTCGGACAAATAAATGAACACTAGTGCAATGAAGGTAGCTGCCAAATGCCAGGTAGAAGTACTAATAGTAAGAGTTGACATGAATATGATTAGGAAAAAGTAAGATTTTATAATGCATAAGAAGGAAAGAAACTCGGAATTTTTAGGTTTTTTTAATGAACACGGGGTGTATAGATTTTGCAAAGGAACAATTATACATTTACTATCAGGTGGTGGAGACACTCCTGTACAGGAGGACATGTTTTCTAGGTGAATTATGTGGATGAAGCCTTTCCAATTAGGGCAATTAAATTCAAACCAATGTACTGTACATAACAGGCGACACAATATCAATCTTGCACGGTGTAACGCTGACTGAATTGTACATTCTCTTATCGAGTAATTATACGTATTGTCTGTAACATCCTTACCGATGGGCACTCGGGACAGAAGTCTTAAGCTCTAAGTCAAGACTCGGCTCGGTAAGGTTGAGAGCGTAAATCTCAAGTGCCGCAGAGGTGTTGAAGGATGCATCGAGCTGCTGCGCTGCAGTTCCAGCTGCCAAGAGGATCGGATGGTAGTCCACGGGTGACCAGGAGGTGTTGACAGTCCGTTCTATTTCCTTGACTTTCATCTCTTACCTGGAAAAACAGAAAAGACCCACAGTCAAGCCAGGAATATGTCAAGTCCATAGGTCCAATTTATATTGGTCAAAACGAAGATAAAGAGCCTACCAGTTCATCAATTCACGTTTACCAATGAAGAAAAAACGCAAAACAGCCTTTCCGTTGATTGAAAACCGCCCGGCCGACTATGTTTTTATAAATAAATATATATCCCGGTTCCAACGTGGCGTATCTGCCAACACAAAATAGTGAGGAGTCGAACCTTCGCTCGGCTGTCATATGTCGCCCAATCGCGATGGTGAACCAAAGCCGCACGCGTTGGACGAAACGTCAAATTTATTCGCTCCTTATAATAAAAAATAAAAATAGAAATAACGATTGCAAAACGACAAAGGAGGGAGAGGGGAGAGATAGAATTTTGTTGTTAATTTATTAATTTTTTTTTTCTTTTTTTGATAGTAAAAACAATAAATTAGTTAAATTCGAATCGAGACATCGATTTATATCGACACCTCACATACGTTTTCTTCAGATAAAATCGAAAAATGTACACTTCGACCATTATATTTTCATACTTAAAAAAATTTCCTAAGATAAACATACGCAATATAGGTAAATTGTCTTAAGTTTCGTAGCTAATGCCTAATAAGCTTTACAAAACCTCAAATATGAACTAATAAGAAAAAAAACATGACACGCTTGTTTACTGTCATGCTTGCACGTTATAAGTGCCTCTTTCTTTTTCTGCATTACTATCAGTTTTTAATTTACGGAAATAATTTACACTTTAGAATTTTAAAAAATCGTACAAAAGATTAATTTAATCTCTATGGTCGATTTATTCATAGTTTCGATCATGATCGATTATCCACGGTTTTCTGCTTTGTACCTCTTCACGTTCAGTTCTTCGGAGCGTTGTGTTGTCGGTTTTTATTATCCTTAGCTTTAATTGAAAATAATTGGACATTGTTACAATCCAAAACAGTCCTTTTTTGTCAAGATTATGGTCGAGGAGACGATTTACTCGAGCAAGCCGAAGGTAGTGATTTATTATTTTGGTTTTATTGATAAAAGTTTTTTGACCGATCCGCTTTTTGCCGATTCCAACTTGAGTGTAACTTTTGCTAAATTTTCCTTTGAAAATAAACCTTACGTGTGATAAGAAAAATGCAAATGCAGACCTGTTAACCCCTCAGTAGAAATTACTTACCTTTTTTGTTTTATTTGTACAAATAAAATCTTCCTTACAAACATACCAGAATGGTACATACCTAGTCAATTTTAGCAATTTAATATCTAAGGATTTGTTTCCTAGTCTTAATTGAGAAGCTGGATTTCTGTACATTGTACCTTGTTACTTGGCTGTATTTTTAAATAACGGCAGGAATTGATCAAATATCGCGTAAAATTTTATTGAAGGCAGTAGCTATGTTGTTTATAGATGTTCTTCCATATTCACATATACTTTTATTACCTTTCTATTAATTTCTTTTCACTTAAATGGCTTAAGCCCTGATAAGGGTGGAATAAACCACCGAAAGCTCGGCAGAGCCCAAAAAGTTGTTTCTCCACATGACCTCTAAACAAGATCTTATCAACCCAAACTTAACTTGCTGCAGGCCGATAAACATCCAAAACAATTCTAGCTTTGTGGTTTCTAGTTGCAGTATGTGGGGCTGCAAACTCGTAGTTTCTTTTACGAGGGTGTTTCAACTATGAGGTTATATGCACCCTCTGGGTGTCGGTGTTAAAAAATTGTATGTTGAATGCAATTGCTAGATTCGAACCTGGGATGAGTGCTGTGTTAACACCTAAACCGTTACAGTCATCGACGCCCCTAAAATACATTGCCCAACGAGGGTAATGTTGTCCTTAATGCAAAGAACGCACCTGTCAATATAGGCAGACAAACAATGATGATTTTTCTGAACATTTCAGTTTATCTGTTCATTTTTTTTTAATTTTAATGCCAGCCCACTATTTAACCCTTTCTCACCTCTCATTGATATCGCACTCTTGCTTCGGCCAATAATAGTGTGCCGTCGTGCTCACCCTCTGAGTGTGGCTATTGACTAAGTAGTAATAACTAACATAAATGCTCAGATGTAATATTGTAAAAATTACAAAAAAGAAAGAGAATTCAGCGTTGTTTAATTTTTCCATGTTCAAATATTGATATACTTTAAACATTTATCTACTCATCAGTTAAAATGAATTTAGTGATGATTTTGCTTGCTAACACTTTTCAATTTGTAATGATGTTGTTTCATTAAAATTATCTTATTTTTTACCTTTTAAATTTTTTTTCTTGGTTTCTATTGGCTTACCATTCAACAAAATGAGCTTAAGATAGATAAGATTAACAATGGAATGATCTCTAATGTTTCACTGTAGGTTTGTTATATGTAATTAGAAATACAGTCAATCAATGAAAATATAGTTTTACTTCTGGATACTAAAGCAAATATGTAGGATTCTTTAAACAATTTCATATATACAAAAAGTTCCAATGTAGAAAATTACTTGTAATATTAATGGAGATAACGTAACCAAACTTTTAGAACCAATTTTTTAGTTTAAATTGTTTTTCCCCTACTTAATAATATTTTTACTCTACATTTAATGTGTGGTGATTAGTGACCGTTAATCGATAATTATTCAGAAATCGTGGTACCAGACCGTATCTCACAATTTCTGAATAATTATCTACATTTAATTACTTCTTTAAGTCATTGGTCATGGGGATAGAGATCTGATTGACAAACTTTTATTTGATGTGTTTTAATTTGATTTTTTCTTCTGATTTATGTGTTTAGATATTTTAAGGAAGAGCTGAAAAGTTGTTTAAAGCCAACATGGAGGGTGAACATGACGAAATGAAACCACCAGAATTTTTTAATTCTGAAAACGGGTCTGAAGGGCCCTCGATGGATCCACCTGGTTTTTTCAGTATGCAAGAAGAACATAGTGACCTTGGCGACGGGCCACCAGGTGTTGGTCCGTTACCACCTCATCCGACTGCGCCGCCAAATATGTTTCCGCCTCCTCCTCCTCCACCAGGAAGTATGCCCCCGATGATGTCTGGAATGTCACAGCCACCGCCGATGCCTAACATGATGGCTCCGCCTCCTCCAGGGATGGGCCCTATGCCTCCTGGTATGGCACCTCCTGGAATGGGACCGCCAATGAGCCAAGTGCCTCCTGGAATGGGACAACCACCACCGGGTATTAATCATCTACCACCTGGAATGAACCAACCACCGCCTGGGATGAACCAACCCCCTCAACCCCCTGGCACGATGGGTCCTCCCAATATGAATATGATGGGTCCCCCTCCAGGCATGGGTCAGCCTCCTCCACAAATGCAAAACATGCAGATGATTGACAATAATGGCCCACCAGGGGAGGAGGATCAACCGTTGCCTTCACTTATGAATATTCATATTGAACCTCCCATGGGGATGCAAGATAAAGATCAAAAGCTACCTCACGCTTTAGAAAAAGTACTTACTTTTAAGACACAGAGAGCTAATGAACTTGGGGTCATGCCAGAGCATGAAGATGTAGAAGAAACACAAGAAAACAACACACCTACCATTCTTCAGTCAGCTTTTGATGATATTGAAGATTATGAGGATGATGATGAAAAAACGTCAAGGAAAGATAAGAAGGATTCTAGGAGGAAATTGAAAAATAAGAGGAAGAAAAAAAGGAATAAATCATCTAAGATCAAACTAAAAGAAGAAAATGGAAAGGTGGACGAGGAAGAAAAGTCCAAAGAAGGTGAGGAAAATCCAGAAGTAGAAGTGGAATATATTCAAGAGAAGCTTAACATTTTTGAACTAGAACCTGTCTATCGTAGTTTTGCAAGAGTTTTTGACATATTTAGAATAGCCGAGCCATCACAAACTCCAGATATCAGTAAAGAAATTGCGGCTGCGACTGTTTTAGGGACTAAACGAACAGATTTAACGAAAGTACCAAAATTGCCAGAAGATGATGATATGGAAGAAAATGCTGAAGGCAAAGAAGAGAAACCCAAATTGTCTAAGAGAAAATTAAAGAAATTGACAAGGTTGAGTATTGCTGAATTGAAGCAACTTGTTAGTCGCCCTGATGTAGTAGAAATGCATGATGTAACAGCCAGAGATCCAAAGTTACTCGTTCAGCTGAAAGCTCATAGAAACACTGTACCTGTCCCACGTCATTGGTGTTTTAAAAGAAAATATTTACAAGGAAAACGTGGTATAGAAAAACCACCTTTCGACTTGCCTGATTTTATTAAAAGAACAGGTATCATGGAGATGAGGTCCTCTCTTCAAGATAAAGAAGAACAAAGGACATTAAAAGCAAAGATGAGGGAAAGGGCAAGACCAAAAATGGGAAAAATTGATATTGATTATCAGAAATTGCATGATGCATTTTTTAAATGGCAGACAAAACCTAGACTTACAATTCATGGAGATTTGTATTATGAGGGTAAGGAATATGAGACACGTTTAAAAGAGAAAAAACCTGGAGATTTATCAGCAGAACTTAGGAACGCTTTAGGTATGCCTGTAGGGCCAAGTGCCCATAAAGTCCCACCACCATGGCTTATTGCCATGCAGAGGTACGGACCACCTCCGTCTTACCCAAATTTAAAAATACCTGGTCTAAACTGTCCTATTCCTGAAGGATGCTCATTTGGATACCATGCAGGAGGTTGGGGGAAACCACCTGTTGACGAAACTGGTAAACCTTTATATGGTGATGTATTTGCTACGCAACACAATGCAAACGATATTAAATTAGATGATGATGAAGTAGAAAAAACTACCTGGGGAGAATTAGAATCAGACAGTGAAGAAGAGAGCGAGGAAGAGGAGGAAGAAGAGGAACAGCAAAAAGATGAAACAGGCCTTATTACACCTTCTGAGGGTCTCATTACACCTTCAGGCATTGCCTCGATTCCAACTGGAATGGAAACACCTGACATAATAGAACTCAGAAAGAAGAAAATTGAAGCTGAAATGGAAGGTGGAGACACTCCGGCTCTGTATCAAGTCTTGGCTGAAAAGAGGGTAGACAGGCTTGGAAATTCGATGATGGCTTCAACACACGTCTATGATATGACGCAAACGGGTGGCGCCCCACCAATAGCAAGCAATGTGCAGGCTTCTGCTCCGAGGAGAGACACCGTAGAACTTGCTCTTGACCCCTCAGAACTTGATCTCGACACAGATGCAATGGCTGCTCGCTACGAGCAACAAATGCGAGAACAACAATCACACCTTCAGAAAGAAGATCTTTCGGATATGTTGGCTGAGCACGTCCAAAGACAGAAAAACAAAAGAAAAAAACAACAGTCGCAGGAAGGAAAACCAACAAAAAAATACAAAGAATTCAAGTTTTAAATATCCACGTTTTCTCTTCCTGGTGTACAGAATTTTTTCTAGTTTTAATTTCTAAAGGAAATTTCCAATTTTTAATATAACTATTGTATATTTTTGATTTTTTTTTTGCATTCACCGTAATAAATAATAAAGGATATAATGTTTTAAAAACTTTTTCCAGAATTTCATTCTTATTATTGCATTTCCCTTCTGCACTGTTTTAAAATGAACTAATATTTATGTACTTTATGTTTTTCAGCTCGCAAAATATATTTCGGAACATATAATTTACATTTGAGACTACCTGAAAATAATCCCAAAACATTTTTTGTTTCATCAATGTATCAATTGCAAAAACTCATTTCTTTTTCAAATATGAATTGGAAAATTTACAGTTGTAGTTGGTGTAAGAAGAACTACTTATCTTTTATTTTAGCCAACACTAAAAGAAGATTTTTTTACATACAACAATATTATTTATGAATGTAATTCATAAATAAATAAAAAATTCATATCCAGCTCTATTCATTTGTGCTTTTAACTTGGGGAAAAATATCTGAACTTTAATTTACCTGATATCTCGCATATGAAATTTATAGAATTAATAAATTACAGCTTAGAAGTTGTATTGAATAATGCGTCTGGTTGGGGGTTCTACAAGCTTATATTACATTAAATTTAAACAATGTTTATGTTGATATTACCTATCATAAAAACAAAGAAAAATTATTATTATACAGACAAGGGCGGCAAGGCCAAAAGAAATCTATCTATGGACAGTTCAGGATGTGCAGAAATGGCTGAGGCGTCATTGCAGTGAATATTATCCTCTTTATGCTGAGAAATTTCTTTCTGTAAGTACCTTGGTGAAAGGGGAAAGACGTGATATCTGGAATATTGGCTCTCCTAGAAGTAAGGAAAGTTGTTTTTTCAGCATGAGATCACCGGGAGAACGTTAATAAGGATCAGCGAGGGCACCCTTCTTAGACTTGGAATCGACAATGCTGAGCACAGGCAAGAAGTTTGGAGAGAAATAACAAAACTACGTCTCAAAAGTGATATACTTGAGATACGAGACTTAGAAAGAAAGGAATCAAGGCTTGTTTAATTCAAACAAAAGCCTTCAATTTTATTTTTATTATTTAAATCTATCTTGTGTGCTGGAATTGGTTCAGGCTTCCTTGTAATTCTAACTTCTAATTGCACTGCTGATGAGATTTTCCACCCCTTAAAAATACTTTCAAATGTTTAATATATCTGGCATTTTAAAATTCATATTTAAAATGGCTGTGTTATGATAAAAACCAAAACACATTGTTATTGCAAAAACAAATTATATTACTACAATAAAGAATTAAAACATTTAACCATTTAAATCAATAACATTCCTTGTCAAGTGTCAAAAATTTGTAATTAATTTGGGCACAGTTCATCACAGTATTTTTATTTATATGTATTTAAAAAAAATTGACAATTGAAACTTTTGTCACAAAAGTTTTGAAGTTGACTGTTTCATTTGCATATGATTTATGGTTTGGTGCTTAAATTGCTCCATAACCAGTTGAAAAAAACATTCAACTAAAAGGTATTGATGTTAGTAATTTGAACAAAAATGTAGATGAAATGGACTAGGCAAATGAAGATTAAATTGCCAAGGTAATGGATTTTTTAAAAAATATTTAATTTGTTTATAAACCTAAATAAGCTATTTTCAGAATATCATTGGACTGATAATGTTTGAAGTTTTTGATTAAATTTAGAAATAAGTTGAGAAAATTTGGCCTTAACCAGGCTGCATTGGGTGCCTACAATTCTCTTTAAATCCAGGAATGTTTTTTGTTTAAATCTTTTGTTTTGTTTGGGAACTAACCTGTTCTAAGTAACTGTATTGCTTTATATTTGTTTTCCATACATTTTTCTTTTTTGTTTTTGTTTGATTTCTACTGAAGGCTTCCTCTATCTTTTATACAATGATTGAACCATTGGTTTCTTTCTCCATTCTACAGAATGCGCCAGCCTAGTGGTATCCTATAATTTAGCAGTTTATTGGTGAGTTTTTAATGAGTTCGACATCCTTTTTAATTACATTGAACAATAAAACTCAGTTGTGGATAGATAAATTGATTTTAATTCCAACGTTTCCTCAACGTGGTCCATGTTATTCATGTTTAAGCCTGAATTTCAATTAATTATTCTAACATTTCAATAATTTTATTTTTCACATTATAAAATCATGAAAGGCTGAATGATGTTGTCTCAAAGCTTTAATTTACTTTGATGATAAAGAATCATTCAAGCATTGGTTTTAGTCCTTGCCCTTTTCCCTGCCCCTTTGTCCGGGTAAGATAAAAGTGTCAATTGATTGTCATCATTTCCTTTAGAATGGGTAAAAGACGGTTGATTCTTTTTTGTTAGGGGAAAAGAAAGAGTTGCTTTGATAACTTTAATTATTTATTTCCTCAATAAGTTTAGTATTAACAAATTTTCAATCAACCAAGTTCCTTCTGGTTTTCTTTTCACAAATTGTGATGACAGTAATGATCATTTTGAACTAATTACTGTCAATGGAACTTGTTTTTTTTTTTGGGGGGGGGGGGTAAAAATTGACAATGAGCAGTGCCATTTATGCTTTCTTTGTTCGAAGAACAACTCTGAATGTATTGCCTATCACCTATCATTTTTCTTGTAGGCGATTTTTCATGCCAATAAAAAAAAAGTAGAATTAAAAAAAAAAAATTTGGTATTGGTAAAGGTAACTTTCACCTACAACACATCGTATTCAAAAGTGAAATATCACTAATAACCACAAGAAGATAAATAAATAAATCCACTAAAACCGAAAATGGAATATTGGCCACACACATCAGTAATAAGGCCTAAGATGTTCTGTAAATGGTGGACTATAAAGCTCACCTAAACGAAGCTACCCAAAAACTAGGCAGTGAGCGAAAATTGGCAAATCTATACATCACATGGACAATGCAACTGCCTTAGAAACACCAGTAAACATCGTCCATTGGAAACATATACAATGAGAAGCTAGGAAAACCTGTATACACCGGCCAGAGAAGGATTTGCAAGGCCCTGCGCTCAGAACCTATACTTGGGATAACAAAATAAAACCTAGGCTCTTGCATCTTAGAATGGGGGTCCACAAAATACAAAAGGAGAAGTAGAAGAACGTCATAGGTGCCAGACAGAGGAAACTCATGATTTAAAAACTCTCACCAAAACTTGGCAAAAAACTTGCGTCTAAAAAAAAGAAGGAAAAAACACGATCAACAAGGGTGCCACGATAACATTTTGACGGTGTACGGTACGGATCGACTAGTTGCCCAAACAGTTTGTACAAATAGGTCATGACCGAAATTTGTCGTGTAAACACTCAGGACAACATCCGGTTTGGACGTCTTTGACAATTGACAGTGTTTGACGGAAGAAAGGCTCGTCAATGAAAGGCGTGACCATTTCTAACAGTTCGCCAAATTCCTTCGGAGAATCAGATAGTTTTTGTAGCCTACTGCTGAACTTATTTTGCGCCTGCTCCACGAGGAGTTCGTTAAAGTTACTCCTCATCCTCAACAGACCCTCTGCTTTCTCTTCCGTTTTGACTGTTTATGTCAAACAAGCGATAACTCTCACACAACTTCTCGAGAATTTTTTAAAATATATAGGTTTATATACAAAATTGCGATTTTTTTGTAGAAACAAAGTCGTTGCGGTTTTTAAATGAGCGTTTTTTCACATTTTAACTGTTTTGGGTGAAGTTTAACCATATTACATTAAAACGTAATTGAACGAATCATTAATACGTTATTAGAAAATATAACGAAAAGAGAGACGTTTCCAAAACGATGAAAATGTCCCAAAACTTTAGTTTCGAAGGTTTATGTGTGGGATTTGGTAATGAAGGAATGACTAGATTAAGCGGTTAGCTTTATGTAAGAACTTTTCCATCCCTGTTTGTATCTATAGAACGCCGCTATGGTCTTTTTTTCAGCAAGGCATGTAATTATTTGACTTAATTGAAATGAACCGGCATTGGGTCACTTGTTGGGTCCGTCTTCACTCGCGGGTTTTAGGAACTGTTCCTCACTGAAGATGGCGCAATGTCGAACCTTGAATGAGTTCACCGCCGCGCAGATCCACCTCTTGTTGAAGTGGTTGTGTTCCTTTCAAGGGTGTTTTGAAAGTGAGAAATTAGCACTACGATAATAGAGGTGTTATGATTTCCTCTGCCTCTGCAAAATCTACACGGCATTGATTGACGCCAATATTTATTAGATGCCATCAAGAGGTCTGTTAGGATAGCGTCTTACTTTTTTTGATGCATTTTCAAGTTCTTTTGTTTTCAAATCTCTCAAAGAGGTTTTATTGGAGTGAATCCCAGTGTTTCTTCGCTGTCACGTTTTATTCTTTTCTAAGATATCCTTTGATAGTAAAGATGCCATATATAAAAAAAAAGGTTTGGGTCATACCAGCGGTGTGGTAACCTATTTGCTTCTCCATTTCTTCTATTCCTGAATGTCCAGGAAGGAAGCCAATAGAGAGTGAATGTGTTTTAATCTACCTAACCAATTTAATTTGATATTGAAATTCAGCATCACGAGCTGATATAGGATTTGGTAAAAAAGTAGCACCCTGGATCGGGTTTTTCTTTGTTACAATCGTTTCCATTTAAATAAAAAATAATTTGTTCATCACCTGTTCATGACCCTTTTGCATTTCCGTCAAGTCGCCAAAAACGATCGTCCGGCCTCCGTACATTCTTTATTGTAGGGGACGGAAAGACTGGGCATTACGACCTCTTCTCGATTACAGCTTTTCCAGTTATTGACCAGAACCAAATTTTCTATTGACCACACCGACTTGGCTGACAATGAGGTTCGAGCATGAGCGCCTGTTCTCGCCGAGCCAACTTTCTGGGGAGAAAATAGAACCGTATCGGTATTATACTAAATATAGTGCAGTCTTCAACACTCGGCACCCCTGGTAGGTGAGTACACGCTTATCTACGTGAAACAATATCGATCTTTTGTATGTACAAAAAACACATTATTATTATTATTTTTTTTTTAAATTTAAAAAATCTTAAAACTCCTTTCAAAGTCATTCGTCAAAAAATTGTTAAAAATTTGTTCAATCAGCAGTCATTTGTAGTCTTGCATTAGTATTAATTATTTGTGTCGTTATTTAAATTTGATTTTATTAACTTCAATAGTCAATTAATTTGAATATCATTGTTTTAGTTATCTCATTTTTAAATATTTAGGGATAGTAGTTTTTAAATCTGATTTAAGACAAGAGAGAAAAAAAAACTGGTTTCATTTTTCCCTAATTGATAATTATTTATTAAGTTACATATTATAAGAGTTTTAGAACTTTCTATGCTAGATATGACAAGAGTTATTCATTTTGAGGATATTGCGTTAAAACACGAAGATCCGGCCCGGAGGACCAAAAGACATGGCAAAGTAAATAAGTAAATACTCAAAATATTTTTAAACATGTGAAAAATTTGCGAAGTAAAATTACTTCTGTATCCTTGGACAATCGAGTCTTTATTAATTTAATTGTTGAATGACATGCTTAAGTTCTGATATAGGCTTAAGTTCACAAATCTATAGCAACTCTCGTGATCAGAAATCATTCGAACATTTCTTTTTCTTCTTTTAAAGTGAATAAATAAGTTAAGTTCTGTCACAGGCTTACGTTCACAAAGTGAATAAGTAAAGACTTTAAAAATATTTATAAACATATGAAAAATTTGCGAATTAAAGTTACTTCTGTATCCTTGGACAATCGAGTCTTTATTAATTTAATTGTTGCATGACATGCTTAAGTTCACAAATATGTAGCAATTCTCGTGACATCAGAAATCATTCTTTTAAAGTGAATAAATAAAATGTGACAAGAACCAACTTTCTACGTCAGATAGCACCAGAGTTCATAATTTTGAAGTTTTGAGGCACATTGGGCGAAAAAACAGGCCCGGAGGGCCAAATAGTCATGTCAAAGGGAATAAGTAAAGACTTTCAAGATATTTGTAAACATATGATAATTTTGCGAATTAAAATTACTTCTGTATCGTTGGATAATCGAATCTTTATTAACTAAGATCCGGCCCGGAGGACGAAAACGTCGTGACAAAGTTAACAAGTAAAAACATAAAAAATATTTTGTGAACATATGAAATTGCGCGAGTTAAAATAGAGATCACATACTAATTATATATCTTCCCTAATATTGTCTGTATATGTATGGTGATAGATGATGAATTATTTTTTATTATTGCCATTTTCTAATTCAAAATTAAAATAAATGAAAATCTTGGGTCAGTTGGGAATAATTAAATACTATTGAAGAATTTTTTTATGAAAATCAGACAAATACTTGGGAAGATTAGTCTGATGATTTAAAAAAAACAAAAGAATAAAATTATTGATAAATAAAAATAAACAGAATATAAAAAACAATAAACGTACTGTATAGATAATTTCATTAAAAAACAAAACCGTTAATTAGTGTTTTCGTTAGAAAATAAAATAACAATCAATGCTTATTTAACTTACAGTTCGAGTATTTTCTTAAAGCTTCCTATAGGATTTTTTTCCCCAAATTGAATTCCCAAAAAATAAAGAACAACAAAAACAAGC